AGTGCCGTTTTGACTAAACAGTTTAGCATTCAATGGTGCATGAGTTCGGTGGCATGAGTTTCTGGTTGGCGACATAGAGGAGCTACAGTTAGCTTGACACGTAGTTCTAGTCGGGTATTATTCCCAGAGTGAAGGCGAGTATCACTCGCACAGCAGCCAAAGCACTCGTGACTGTTGAAGTATCAACGGTATAGTGTAGGGATCTAAGAATTGCATGCTGAATATATGGAGCTAATCAGCGCACGCCCGCTCAGCGATAGGAGTTATCTCACAGGACTCCATGTGATATTGGATGGCTCGATAGAGGGGTTTCTCTTCAGGACCCTAGGACCATCGATACTAGCGCCTTCGACAAGCGAGAGAACAACGAGGAAGCAGAAGTGAGCTAGTCGGGATCAGAGAGTCCGTAGACGCATCATTCCAGGTGGATGACGATGATAACGAAGAGGGAGAGGAAGCTGATGAGAAGAGGAAAATGGAGGAGAGAAGGACGAAATGGGAACAGCGCATGTGCGTGCTGTCTTTCTCCGTCTACTTGTCATGCAACAGGAGATTCTCTTCATGACTTTTCGACCTTCCTGGTTGCGAAACTTATCGACGACAAGTTGGCGCGTATATGGCTCGAAAATAATGAATTCTTTTTTGTCTGGCAGAGCAGTATTATTTTGTTCTCGTCTACATGAAAGAATACAAAAATTTCCACTTTATAGGAAACCTTGATCCCAGGGTTGCTGACGGGTACGTCTCTGCTCAGGCGCGAGAAATTGGATCATATTGACAGCATTGAAGTGGATGCGTTCGAGGACGATATAGAACTTCCCGAAAATTGCTCACGGAGTGGTAGTACTTCCCGCACTACAAGGCGACTAGAAGAGCTGCTGAGGTCCCTGCAAGATGCAGTAGAAGAGTGTACCAAGATCACTTGCATGGTCAGCCGAGCAGTCACTCTGTTCCTCGCCAGAGTTTCTCCTGATAGGACATTCGATGTGACGATTTCTCATGGATTCACGATGCGACGAAGATATTAGCCGTCGAGCACAAGCTTCAGATCGACAGGATTGCTACTTTCGGCAACGTGAGTCTTAACAGGGATTTTCTGTCAAGCATGAGAAGCAAGAATCTTTCGAGTTGAGACACGACAGCTGGGACTCTCTCGAGAGGGGCGTGATGAGATGGTGTTCTCTCAGGGCATAGCAAAAGACAGCTCCTTGAACAGCAGTGATGCTAGTGAGCGATGAGCCATTCGTTATAGCCAATATGCATTTATTCGTGTTTTTAAATCAGGTGATGAAACCTTGAGTGACAGAGAATATATCAAACGAAATGTTGTACCTTCTCTAACAAGAGCAGTGCATCTTTGCGAGGAGCAGTTGCTGAGGAAAGCTCCGTAGGGATCACGTGGGAACATGGTATCGATGATGCCAGACGTGATGTCGCATAGTTTTCTTTCAACACCTCCCATGTCTGTTTCCATGAGAACGAATTGTCGCGGTTTTATGGTCAGCGTTTGATTCTGTGTAGTGACAAACTAGAAGCAGTGGTTTGGAAAATATTTTCACTTTTCTCAGCTGAGCTCTGAAGTTTCCGCAATCATTATAGTATTTCATGTACCAATGAAGATAGTAATGTTCAAACTGCGAAATGGTCACCAACACGTGTAGATGAAAATGCGCATATTTTCCTACAACGATTGGGAGTTAGTTCATTGGCGAGTTGACACCCAGGGCCGTCGGATTTTGGTCGTCGGTACTGATAGTTTGAGAGCTGTTCGCTCCTCAGAGCTCCAGTGGATGCCCAGCAACAGCTAGCGTTCATCGCTGCCGTTCTGAAAGGCGCGATATGAGAGGACCATCGTTTGCATGTATCACGGATAATGAGAAGTGTCCTTAAAAGTCTCCGGTTGTGTTATAAGCGTCTGCACTAGCGGCTTATGATCTATGGCACAATGAAACTGGAGAACTTCATAACAGATAGGAGTTATTTTCTCTTTGACGAAAAGAGTAATACTAGAGTCTATCCACGCCTTGTTGCAGA